GAGGTTCCAAGCGTGCGTAGGACATAAGGAAGTATAATTGCTCTTCTTAGGTGGGGACGTTCCTGTCGTGGGAAGGTTGTTCCCGCCGAGCCGGAGGAGAGGGACGTTCCTGACGCTGGCATTACCCGTTGGCGGCGCATCACGAAGATCTAGGTGGCGGCTGCCGCGGAAATGGTACAGCTTTCGTGGAAAGTCATCATTGCGCCTGTTCCTCTCCGTATGTGACACGTATTCGGTGATACGCTCCTCGCCACGTGTCACTGTTCCACCGGTCTCTCAAAACGATGCTTCCCATTATAAATATCGGATCCCTTGGTGGGCTTAGGGTTTCCGATTTTTGTTTCTCACTCTAGAATCTCCACCGCACTACAATCAACTCGTCGACAAGGTTCCCGACTCGTTTCTACTGTTTTCAAGGTAATTCGGTCTTACTTCTCCTTCCTCCAATTCTTTCTACTTTGTGATGGCGACTTCGATGGAGATTTCGTCGAGCTCTAGTTCGGGCTCCTCTTCGGGTTCTGGTTCTGGCGCTTCTTCTGGTTCTGGCTCTGGCTCCCGTTCTTCGGATGGAGCTAGCACCTCCGGCAGCTCCGGCTCCCCGACCGTTGTGGGGACGGTTATTAATGATGGTGTCCCTGATGGCCCCACCCCCGACGTCGATACAGTGACAAGCGCTACTTCGACCAGTGCGGCCCAGGACGACGCCAATTCTGGGGGTGATAGGGGGGTATTGCCCAAGAGGAGTCAGCTCAGACGACCGAACATGTGGTGACGAACGTAGCCCCTGCCAATGAGCATCCTGAGGGCTATGTTTCGGGGAGCAAATCTAGGGATGGATCTGATATAGAGGTGTTTGACCTGGTCCTTACAGTCAACGTGGAACGTCACATCTGTCCCATTAAGAATGTGCTTGGGCACGCACAATTTTTCTCAGATCAGGCCCTCAAGGAGCTCAAGATCTACTTACCCTCGTCGTACGTCTACGGCCTCCGAGGTGCAACCCACGTGATGAGGAGACGTCCGGGGATGGTCATGGTGCACTTTGATTCTGTCAGGGCTGGGCTGCGGTTTCCATTTCATCCCTTCTACCTCGAGTTCTTTCGCTGTTTTCAAGTGGCCCCCGCACAGTTTATTCCCAACTCTTATCGCTTCATTTCGTCGTTCCTCGTTCGTTGCAAGGCTATGGGAATGACTGCGACCCTGGAATTATTCAACTGTTTATTTTGGCTCACCCCCCATAACTCCGATGGGTTCCTGAGCCTAGCCGCACGTCCCAAGCGGAAACTTTTTAAGGGGGCGCCGACCTCCATTCATGAGTGGAAGAACAAGTATTTCTTCCTCCGCTACGAGGAAGCTCGTCTGCCGCTCCGCTGGAATGGGTATCCCCCCAAGATCAACTCTCTGAGATTGTCAGACGAGCTGGAAGAGCAAGTCAAGAAGATGAGGGCGGACGGGGTTCAGGATGTGGAAGACCTCCTCACTTTTGAGAAACTCGCCGAGGCAGGAATAGGTACCGCTCGTGTCTCTGGATCTCCTATCCCCCCTATGTTCGTCTCCGGGATCCGGGCGGTCCTGTCTCTGGTTCATGCCGCCCGGTGCTAACTTCTTATGCTTTTCGTTTCAGGTCCCCCTCCTACCGAAGCACAGATGAACAACGAGAAGATTTTGAGAAATAGGAAAGCCAAGGGTGCTGCTGCTGATGCCGCCTTGGTGAAGGCTAAGGCTGCCCAATCTTCAGAGGCCAACTCCTCAGCCTCTCAGGCCGACCGACACACGGTTGAGGCCGAGCAGCACCTTATTGCCACCGTGATGGTTCAAGGGTCCGAGGCCCCTATTGCCGATTCTGGCGCTCCCAAACTTGTGGAGCCTCTGAAGACGGTTCCCCCCAAGGGCGGGGAAAAAGCGAAGGAGAAAAGCCGGAAGCGGCACCATGCTGATCCTCGTGGCGTTATGGCCGAGGATGTTTTCTCGGCTCCCCTCAGACGCCCGATGGATGACATTTGGAGGGAGACTGCCCTCCGAGCTGGGGTGGAGTTGCCGCCCCGTTCTTCCTCTTAGGCTACCAGAGCTATCCTGGCAGCCGCCCTTCAGGTACGACTCCTGCTTTAAGCAAGAATATTCTATCTCTTGACCGACGTGCGTATTCTTATCAGTTTGTTTATTGTGGGCGGGTTTGAGTGCTCTTCAAGACGAGGCCGCCAAGGACGCGGAGGCCCGGCAGGCCAAGAAAAAGGTTGAGGCCGCCGTGAAGGAGGCTCAGGCAGTCGCCCGTCGTCAAGAGAAGGTTGCGGCGGACAAGGAAAAGGAGCTGCAGGCCGCCTTGTCCGAGGCTCGTGAGCAGATTGCTCTTCTTGAGAGGAGCGGCTTCAAGCTCGTCCCCGTCCTCCCAGCCCCCAAGGATGAGGCACCCCAATGGCTCGTCGATATTTCTGGGTACAAGAATACCGGAGACTTTATGATCTCTGCCCAGGAGTACTGCCAAGGGGCCTTCGGCGATGTTTTTGCGGCCGAGCTGGAGAAGCGGAAGCCCAAGGACCGTCTGAAGTTTGGGATTGCAATTCTTGAGAAGGCCCCCCCCCTCGGAGCAGTTCCTCTACGATGTTGGTGACAACTCCTTCGCCTTGGGGTTCAACGAGGGGGTAAAGGCCACCTTACCGATCTTTGCCAAGTTATAGGGCCCTGCTTTCAAGTTAGCCGATCATACGAATGATTCAGAACTGTTACGAGCCCTCGGCAAAATGGAGCAAGACCAGCATCGGGAGGAGGCCAAAGCCAGGGGCGAGATCCCAGATCCCCCGACCCCTGAACCGGAGGCCGAAGAGGAGGAGGCCAACCCAGGAGGCTCCTGGCCCATCTCCCCCAATTTTTTTGATGTAATCTTGATTTCTGTCTTGAATTGATTGTACATCCCAGCCATTAGTGCTGAAGAATGAAGATTACCTTTTGTTCAATGTCTGTCTCTACGTTCGTACTTCTTTCCTTAGCAGTATGTGTTTCATTCCTGTTTGCATTTTTTTTCTAAGTACTCAAACCCATGCGTAGCTACCCTTAATAGGTAAGTGTATCCTGGCGACGTTCGTCTGCCTTTGTACATAAACTTCTCTTTACGTTCTTCGCAAAGTGCTTGGGGTCGTACGTGATGTGTTGACAGGTGCGCCCCGTGGTGAAGTGCGTCCGTCTGATCATATCAATGTGTTACCATCTTATCCCGTGTTTCCTGCAAAGTAACAGGATCCGAACGTTCGCCAACTGTGATCACTATTGATTTGTTGTTGACGTATGGTGATGTGCATACGGGGAGCGCTCTTGATGTCGTCGATGGGGCTCGACAAGACGCTCGTCCTCCCTGTGTATCCATGAAGGCCTTGCCAGGGCAACCCACATGCCTTTATGGCAATGATTGAGTAGCGCAAGAATCGAAGCGCCTTGATACCGCGAAATATACCGGTTGTGGTCTGCCACGTGTTTGATTATGATTGGCAAGGTTATGCGGTGTTGCTTATAAGTAGCCGAAACCACGCGGGTAGCTCATTTGCTTCCCCCCTTTGGCCATTACGCTGCACAATTGCTTTCTCTCTCTAGCTATTTTCTGCACTATGCCAATTCTCAAGGACTCTTTGGTACTGTGCGTCGTCATGTCTTCCTCTAGACCAGAGTCTCAATCCATAAACCCAAGTGCTCGAGGTAGCTCGTCCTCCGCCGAAGATCGGTGGGATGACGGGTGTACCTCCGACGACGACCTAGAATTTTATGAACGGGGAATGCCACCTCGGCCTCCCTGATACTCTCAATTTTTCATGCATCCGGCGTCAGCGTGAGCATTTGCTCAATGCTGATAGGCGGATGATTGGCCAGTGGATTTACCCTCCCAGGGTATACGAGGATCGTCGACTTCGTCACCACATGCACCATTTGCCCGGCTTCGTAGTGGCCCATCTAGATTCGGTCATAGCCGTCCTCTTCTTTCCCCTGCATCCCTTCCATCTGGAACTTTTTAGGGATTTGCATATCACGCCAGCACAGCTCGTCCCCGTTTCCTATAAGATCATTGCGGGGTTCATCATTCGATGCCACAGCGTGGGTGTGGTCCCTACCGTGGACTTGTTCCACCACTTCTTTCGTTTGACCACTTATGGCCATACAGGATATTTAAGCCCGACCGCTCGTCCTTCTAAGGTCCTTTTTGCCAATAACGCCTCGAATCCGAACGGTTGGGAGGAGCGATTCTTTCTCGCCGGGGTGGGTTCCCCAATGCCCTTTTCCGAAAGTTTGGCCATCCGCCCATGACGGAAGAGGAGTTGGGCCACGCCAGCCGCATAGCTGGTCTTGGTATTCAAAACCTCCGACTGCTGGTGGCAGAGCCCTTCATAGCTCGGGCTGGACTAGGTGCGTCTGGGTATATTTTTGCGTTTTTCCTGTCTGTTAGAAATAATGGCTCTGATCGTCTTGTTTTCCTCTCTGCAAGAGTTTTCGCGAATCTGCCTGCCATGGGACGTTCCAATAATATCCCTCATATCCCTGGCCGTCAAGATAAAAACCAGGACAAGGAGAGGAGGCCGCTCGTCCCCAAAATCGAGCCCCAAGTGACGAGGTCATGAACTGAGGGGGCTTCAGAACTTGGCCCTTCTCTGAAAACATCCTGCCATGAGGGCACGGACTCCCGGGCCATTATGGTCGTGGATGACTCCGACGAGGAGCCTAGGAGTCCTTTGAAGCGGAAGTCGGCTTCTAGGAATAAGCCTCCTCCATCGCCTCCAAAGAGCTCAGACGTTCGTCGTCTCCGAGATGAGGACGCTCATGATACTCACCCTTCTTCTTCCCGGTCTTTAGCTTTTAGAGATAAAGCCGTTCATGAGGCGGGTCGAATAGTAGTGGGGGATGGGGCGTGGGTGGGGGTGAGGGGCGAGTTTTTAGACACGGGGCGGGGATGGGGAGTGAACCCCGCCCCAACCCGGCCCCAACCCCTTGACTAATAAAACAACAAATTTGTTTCGATTTGACCTTTTTCTCTTCTTAGCAGCAAATGCATTGCTGCGACACCTGAGTGACTGAGTCCCTGAACTGACTGCTCATCACCCTGGATGATGCTTAGCGCTCATTGGCAATGGATGGTAAACCTTTCAATAGCGTTGCTTCTCCTGCTACTTCCGCCGTTGCAGGTGATTTGCCGGCAGTCTGTAGCTTCTGAGGAGTGCCATGGCTGCATGCCATCAGTGGAATGGCAGACCATAACGAAACGCAACTACTCTTCAGAGATCCGTCTCCATCCTCACCTTCTTCTCCTGGTTACCGTTCCATGTAATTCCTACTCTCTTATGTTCCATATGTTTTCTTTGATCTATCAATCAACTACATCTCGTCTCAATTCTGATTTATAAACTTTGCAATTCGTTCGTAAATGTCTGAAGATTTGTTGTTTGGATGGAGTGCTGAGAAAATTCAGAATATTTAGCTATAAAAACCATTTGTTTCTTACAAGGAAGGTTTAAGCCTCTTTACCATTACAAAGTAATGAGTTTTTTGGGAATGTGTGTGGCTGTGGGCATCGATGAGAGGGGTGGTTAAAAAGGGCTTTTGCTAGAGTGCGTATCCTTCATTTCAACCAGGAATATAAATCTTGAATTCCTGCAAGCTGGAGATGCAGCTCACCCCTACAGAACAATGGCGTGACCTGAGTATTCAAACATCAATTTAGCTAGAAAATGTCCATATACCTTGCAAAAAAAGAAAGAAAATGTCCATACAGTTTGACACACATAGATGTTAGGCTTTTCACTTTTGTAGATTCATTCTCTTATACTCCCTCTGTCCAGGAAACAACTTAATGGTGTGTAAGTCAACTTCCCGGGTTGAGTTTCAACCCTTATTTTTTACTTGATTTAACGTAGTAGTTTCAACCCCTACTATGTTAAATCAAGTAAAAAATAAGGGTACTTTTTGATATTTCCTTTTGAAAAATTACTTTTTGTGGAAAGTGGGAAGCTATTTTGGAGAGGGGGGGGGGGGAGTAACTCAATTTGATGGTTCTTTAAAATTGCTGTTGCTACCAATATTTTTAAATTACTTACATTAACCTTAGTCTTTCTTTACCAGGGTCTGGAGAGTCTAGGTCCCTTATGAAGGAATTAGGTCTTGCATTGAATAGTGAACATTTCAGATTTGGCTCCCTAAAGCTGAGGGTCCTATTTAGGAACAATGAGAGAACTCTGGCTGAAGCTCTCGGTGCTAACACCGGAATCTCAGTTGTATATTATCAGCGTTCCTTGTTTTACAAATACCGTGGGAGACTCAGAGCTCAGAACATATTATCTTCCATCCATTATGCTATGTCATTACTGCCTGAAGAACTTCCTCTGAAATCGGTGAGCACAGCAGAAGAGCTGAACGTTTTCCTTGGTTCTACTGACAAGGCTTTACTTCTCTTAGAATTTTGTGGATGGACTCAGAAATTGCTGGCCTTGGGCAAGAACAATGGAACAGATAATGGGTTTGGTATAGATCACAAATCACATTTATAGTTTGTTTTACTTTATTATTAATGTTATTCTAGTTGTGGTTGTGGTATTATTATTATTACTATTATTATTACTATTACTATTATTATTATTATTATCGTCATCATCATCATTGTTGTTGTAAGCCACTTATAGCTGTTTAGTTGTTGTTGTTGTTGTTGTTGATGTAGCTGTTATTATTACTATTGTTATTGTTATCATTATTATTACTTAGAGCAGGTTAGGGGGTGGATTAATTCTTCCCCTCTTTTGGAAGATTGAAAGATAACACATGACTAGACTTCTGCCAGGAAATTTTAAGTTTCTGACATATCTTTAATCACTATCATATCTTATGCCCAATAATGAATTATTTCCTTAGCCTTATACTTTATTGAGCATCATGGTATCCTCATTTAGTAATACTCATATAGCAGACAGAAAAGGGACAATGTCCTAGTTAATCTAACTTGAATCATAGTTTTGTTTGTTTTTCCTTACAAAATAGTTGAAATAAGGAGACATCACATTCTTTAAGTGTGTGCAGTATCCAGTTGTATCCTCATAAGAGATTACACTAACTTACCTTTCAAAATAGTTAAACCAAATATATTCACAAATGTGAATATTTATCCTGATTATTTTGCCAGTTCTTTTGGAATACCTTGCTTAATATAAATTACATGCTGAATAACAGTTTTATATCTCTCCTTTAGCCCGTAGTTGCACTCTTAAGTTCCATAGCTAACACATCAGAGAATGGCACCATCAGTTTTTGTGGTATCACATTACTGATGTTCAGAATTGAAAATTCGAGTTTCCTACATTTTTGGATCACAAGGCACTTAATTTTGGGGAGGTCCCCATCCTTTAACCCATGAAGTTGCCTCGTTAATATGTTAATGAGCACTAGCTGTAGTTTTTTATGGTTAGCTGATATTTCTGCTAATACATTTCTGTGTTGCATTTCTATATCAGCATGAAGTTGCAAAGACATTTTGTCATTACATACATGTCCTTGTTTCTTTTTTTCTTTTTTCTTATATCTATTCGCATAAGGATTGTGCCAAGAAGACTTTACATTGCAAAATACAATTTTTGACAGGTTTCAATGATGAGTTCAATAGAACAGTTGTCAATGAGAGTAAAATTCAGAAGGTGTGCAGTTATTTTTCATTATGAGGTCAGTGTTGGAATTATAATGGCCATTTCACTTGTTGGTTAAACGCTTATGTACATGTTTCTCAAACTAGGGAACAATAAATGAGAAGATGGAATGCGATATTGATGACAGGAGTGGTTTCATTCCTCATCTTAACAAGTTTTCTTTAGGAAATGACAGCACTCTCTTGGAGGCTGAGTTTATGTCTCATGGCTCATCTACTTGTGGAATTAAGGAATTCGTGCATTTCAAGTCTTTCTTAGAAAAAACTGTGATAGCTGCAAGGGAGTTTTTTCTTCCTCCTGAGAGGCTAAGATTTGGTGTAGTTACCAATAAATCACTGCTTTCCGTGCTAAATGTTGAAGATCCAGGGTCATGGTTGATGACACTGCAAGTTGCTGGATGCCCAACTTGTTCAATTGTTTTTAAAGAAGGCAATGATCTAAAAAATGCAATACAGACTCAAGTGTCACCCGTTGCAGAGGCAAGTATTCCATTTATGACATTTATTATTATTGTCTTATTTATCTAGCTTATTTATTAGGTATCAGGACTTCGACTATATTTCATAGATTTTTGTTTATTTTTTCTGGGTACGTTGGCAAAGCTAGATTTTTGTTTCTCTTCATGTTGCATATCTCAGTATCTCACACTAATTGCCTAGCTCTTTGACTATGTCATTTATTAAATAAAGACCTGTTTCATATAACAAACCTGGGAATAATGGCCTTGTTTTTTAGGGATGTGGTTACATCAGACTTGGCTGAGTTTGTAGTTCTCTACCCTTTTCTTGTTTAGGAATACAGAATCCAAGGTAGTCAAAGTCGAAAGGCGCACTTGAAGCGCTAGGGGCCTTCCAGCGCAAGGCGCAAAAAAGCGCTCGCGTGACTCGGGTCAAGCGCACTATTCATAAAATATTATGTATACTATTCTAGAGTGATTCAATATGACATATTCAACATCATATTGAACTAAATGCATCAAAAAGTCATGTTTCTAAAACATAAAGTCATGATTCACCAAACTAAAGTCATTGTTCACAAAAAAGTGGGGTCTGTCTGTTGATTTTGCAATTTCAGCACTAGGGATAGCATAAATTATAGTGTATGAAACTATTAACTGAGTTAGATTATATGAAGTTTTTATACAGTTAAAAAATGAAATGATAATAGGAAGATACAGAGTTATAGAGTGTATAATAAGATAAGATAATATAGAGTACAAATAATGTAAACTGGTAGTCAGGTACATATAATATGTTTGAGTTGTATAGAATATATTAGAAGCAAAAAGAACTATAAAGTATACATAGATGACTGGAACTGATAAATGTAAAGAAAGAAGATAGACTGAAAGAATAAAATGAAAGGATCCCCAAGAAGATGACATAATAAATGAAAACTACAAGCTGAAAAAGAAAGAAGAAGGAACATGGGAAGATGATGATGAAGAAGACACCTTATGAGTTTCTGGATTCTGTGGGTTCGTTGAATGTGTTTCAGTGCTGAGCATGTTGCGCAAGTAGAGCATATAGCAGCGCAGGAGATTCACGATGAAGTCAAGACTCAAGATAGAAGATTTTTCCCACGACTAAGAAGGGTTTAATATGGGTTTAAGTTTTTTTACCTATTATTTGGACGGGTTAAATCTTATTATAAGTATGGGCTTATTATTTAAAAAAAGGATCAAACAAAAAATAGGCACTGATAATCCTTTCCCAGCCCAGGCGACTTAAGCGTGCGCTTTTCCCATGCTCTGCGCTTCAGCGCTTCTGCACCTAAACTGCGCTTTAGACAGGGAGCTGCGCCTGGGCATTCTTCAGTCGCTAAACCTCATTTGCGCTGCGCCTGGTACGCTTAAGCGCCCAGGCGCTCGCTTTTGACTACCTTGACAGAATCTAATATTGAATATTGAATTACAACATACTAAGGACTAGTACTAAAACTCCCCCCAAAGGCTGTCCTTTATTCACATTCCCACTTGCCTGGGAACATAATTCTTAATTTTGCACTTTTCTACTGTACTTTTGAACATTTTTTTCTTATCAATTCACTGCATTCTGGAGATCCTCATGGGAACAGTTTTGTAGTCCTAGAGGTTGGCGTAATCATGTAATTTTGGCTTACAGCTCACCCTCCTATACTCTATTTCTGAGTTGGATATATTGGGTGAGGAAGAGATTGAGATGTGAGAAGTAGTAGATAGGTAGATTCTGTGTGTGTTGTTTTGGCAGGAGAGAAATGGAGAAGAAGAAGGTAAACATTGAGAAACCCATTCTAGTATTTGTCCACACAAAAAGTGGTGGGACTCACCATTTGCATTTATCCAATTCTCTCCTTTCCATTTTTATTGTTCTCAGACAAGCGAGGTTTCTCATTTCTCATTTATTTCTCTCCCTCAGATTTCTTTCCTTTTATGCATGTGTATCTTTTATTCTTAATGCAAATAATGCTTAAAAAGATTCTGATTTTGCTTTCAATTCAAAAACATTATGACTGTTCTTTGTTATGCTTTTAAACTTGTTTGGGTACTATGCCTTTTCTTTTCACCATCCTATGTTATATTTTATGGATTATTTTGGGAAATGCTTTATAGTACCCTAGTAGTATTACATTTTCTATTTGGTAGACAAATACATTTCAGGGTTGACATTCTATTTGGTAATTATACATTTATACACAATACCCCCGCGGCCTCACATAAGTAAAGCCTCTTTAAAATTTTAACTACCTCTGAATTTGTATTCACCTTTGTTTTTGTTTTTAAATTTTATTTCCTGGTTCAATTTCATTAATTTTTTTATGTTAAAAATGCATTTTTAAGCATTGCAAATGAAAAAAACATTTTTTCGTTACTTGGGCTCGATAATTCAAAAGGACGGTAATTAGATGGAGATGTATCCCATAGAATCAGTACAGGGTGGATGAAGTGGAAGAGTGCGTCAGGGGATTTTCCAGGGTAAATTTTATGGGACATCAATTAGGCCTGCATTACTGTATGGCGCAGAGTGTTGGGCGGTGAAACAATGTCACATTCGAAAGATGAGTGTGGCAGAGATGCACATGCTGCGTTGGATGTGTGGGCATATTAGGAAGGACCGTGTGAGGAATGAGACAGTCAGACATAGGGTGAGAGTAGCACCTATTGAAGACAAGATGTGAGAGTCGCGCCTATGGTGGTTTGGGCATGTGCATAGAAGACCGAGTGATGCACCTGTCACACGAGTTGAGATGTGTGGAGAAGAGGCAGGGAAAAGAAGGAGAGGAATGCCCAAACAGACGTGGGTTAGGGGAGTCTGAAGTGATATGCGTCTTCTTGGGTTTGATGAGGGTATGACTTTGGAGAGAGCAATGTGGAGGGCGGATATTCGTGTGGAGGAGTGATATCGTATCATCTTTTCCCCTCATCTTCTTTTTCTTGTTTTTTTTTATCCTTTTATCCTTATATATAAACCTTATTTTTATCCTTTTTATTTTGTCATTTTTATGTATATTCATCTATTTTTATATTCTATTTTATAATAGCTTATCTTTTTTATCTTTATTTTCTTTCTTTTCCTTTTGGTGGTGATGTAAATATTTTAATAAGCTGTAATAAGGAAGTGGGCTGGGCCCAAATATTTAGTTATTTTCAGGAGAAGCCTCTTTGGGAATAGAATAAATAGAAGGAATAGTATAGGGAGAGAGTAGTCTGGATTTGAGTAAGAATTGGGATCTGGGAGAGTTGAGGCCTCTCGAAGTGCCTCGTCTGTATCTTCTTCATCTTTTTTACGTTTTACTTCAATAATAGCAATCCATTTACTGTTAAAAGTTAGAGTACGCATCATTGGTATCAGAGCACTCTTGCTTCTGGAGACAGAGACTGAATCGGATCTTCACCAGAGCATCAACGAGCTGGAATGATGGAAGAGGAGTTCTATATGTCACCCCGAATGGAGAAAAGTATGGACAACATTGAGCGTCATGTGAAGGAGATGTGGACTAAGATGGACGAGTCTCTGGACATGATGCGCGACGGTTTGCGTCAGCTTTGTCGCAGGCAACCTAGAGGTCGACCGCGGACAGTCAGGAGCCGTCGACCCTCGGAAACGAAGGACTCAGCATCGTCGTTTGGCGCTTTTACTAGTTCGCAGTCGCGAACGATTTCTCCTGGTTCGCAGTCGCTAATGGCTACTCCCTGTTCGCAGTCGCGAGCGACTTCTCCCTCTTTGCAGTCGCTATCATATTCGCTGAGTTCACAAGTTTCATCTCAGTCTCAAATCTCTTCTCCCACTACTCCAGCTTCTTCGCAAGCAGTATATTCCGGTTCGCATGTTTCAACGGCCAATTCTACCAGTCCGCAGGTTCTGACGCCAACCGCCTCTCGTTATGCCGAAGCTCAATCATTCCATCAGGAGTTTTTTATTCAGTTGCAAACTCCCTCAGAACAGAAGGTATTAATTCTTCGCGTCCCAGGGAAAATAGAGAAGAGAGAGTTCTTCCTAACAGTGCTGAGGATGATCTGAGGGTCGCCAATCTAGGGCAAAATTATGCTAGAGAAGCTGATAATTCTTCTCTGGAGACCAAACTGCCGTTGGTGGGTGTTAAGGGTGACCCTGGCGAAAATGAAGTTACTATCAATCATAGGCATCTGGAGGAGCAGGTAAAAGTCACAGATACAACAAGGATTCAAGCACTGGCGGGGAATTCAGATCTTGCTGTGATGACTGCTGGGCCTGATGTTTTTGTCTCCCCAACTGGTCTCAATCCTTTAATGTATCAATCACAATCATTTCTAGTCGGGATAGGTATTGGTGAATTCTCACTTACAATTGATTCGCTGAAGCCTGGGCAAGCTGCTCCTGGAGTTACTAATGTTAAAGGTTCTAGTTCTAAGGAGTTCATTGCTAGTATGCCAATACTAGAATTGCATCGTGATGTAGAAAAGAAAGCAGTAGTTGCTGCTGGTTATGAAACCATTGCATCTATCCTGGCTTTTGACCCTATTCAGCAGCTCTTAGTTATTGGAACCACATATGGTAGGCTGAAAGTCGTTGGAGGGAACAATATCGAAAGCCTTATGGTCTGGGAGCTGGAGAACAAACACTCGTCTTCCATATTAAAAGGGGTGTCAAACATACCCACATTCTCTGCTATCTATGGCATTCATTACACGCTTATGGAGATGAAGGATGATGATATTCAACCCACAGGATGCCCACCAGGCAATCCGGAAGACGCAGAAAATGTTGAGGCCGATGCCAGCTCACTTTCAAAGCCTGCTTTGCTCGAAGAGACAATTGTTGAAGCTGCACAGGGCCTAAGCGAGGTATTGATGAAGGCTGTATCCTACAGAGTGACATGTGTATTGGTTGGTGGCAGTTTGTTAGTTGTTGATCTGATAACTGCAGATCTTAAAACTTCAGATAGAACTGTTTTATCAACTGATATTGAATCATCCAGTATGATTCCAAGTCTATTATGCATGGATTGTGAGAGGGGAAGA